AAAAGGCACTGCAGAAGAGGGGAAATGTTCTCTCTATTGAAAACTGCTTTGCAAGAAACTTTGCATTTCACTTTGGGCTGTTCCTCTCTTAACTTGCTTCCTCTCTTGCAGCCAGGCTTTTCGACCTCTCTAATCACTGTACAGTGGTTCTTCCTAATAGCAATGGAGTGTGCAAAAGCAGAGACAAATTCTCTGCCTGCAACTGCATCCTCTCTTATCCTATCCCATCCTCCATGGCCCCTCAATACCACTAGCGACATTACTGCACACACCTTGACACAGCTAAGAAGCACTGGCTCTGGGATGCGGAGAGGATCAAAGAGGCAGGTTCTCACTCTGCTGATTCTATTTCCAAGACATTTTAGCCAGTACCCGAGTTACGGAAGTGGGAATTCTGTGACTTCTGGGTGCTACAGCCACCTAGATGCGCAGGCTGGCTTGCACACCTAGAGGAGAGAAGGCCAAGAAAGGGGAAAAATTTCTCCTCAAACTAAGCAACATAAGGAGAAAGAGGGCTGAAACCAGAAGCATGGCCCACCAGCCTGAGGAGTGAGCTGTCAGTCTGAACTGACTGTCAGAGTGAGCTGGGGTAGAGGGATAGAGAACGACAGAGCAAGTCCTTCTGCACGGGAACCTATGTGTAGACAACTGGGGACTGCAACACTTGGAGTACCTGTCACCCTTCCTGAAAAAAGAGTTACAAGAGAGCCCACCAAGGAACCCCAAGCTGGGGTCCCCTGGCTGCATGGGACATCTTCAGCACTTGAGTGCTGTCCCCAGCACTGCTGCATTCCTGCCCTGGAAGTGCTTGACCCTCTCATTCCAGCATTTGGTAGGAGCGTCTCTGGCACAAAGGGCATGCCAGAAATGAGGAAATAAAGAGGAGTCAAAGAAGGAAACCAAATTACAAGCTGTGTGATTAGGAAGAATACTTTCCATTAAAGATGAGTCTGTTGGAAAATTACTGCCTGCGCAGAGGCAGCCTCAGGGCCAGGGCGGTGCAAGAGCAGTATAAAAGTAACCCCAAAGCCTTGTTCTCTCATCCACTTCTCTTGCTCTCCTCTCCTTGGGACCCAGGTGAGTCTACAGCCCTTTCTGCTTCTCATCCTTCCACAGGCTGAGGCCTCAGACCAACATACACATCAGCAAATGCCTGCTCCATCATGCCACAGCAGGACTTGGAGGTCATTGCCATAGAAGAAAGACGGAGGAAGAAGGTCTAGCACAGAGAAGTCTGGGTCTTGGCTGATGTGCATTCTGAGCTATGGGCTAGGTGGGACCCCTCTGGGCTTGGCCACTCTTGATGGGGCACTTTTGGGCTGAGGGGAAGTTGAAGTCCATGGGTGTACCTACAAAACCTCCAGCTCTTCTCTCAAAATTGGCTTGCCTTGAATTCCTTGTGGTGGTGTGAGAGACTGCTCCTGACCCATGTCCCTGCTCTGTTTCCCCCTGCTCTATTTCCCAGGTGAAGCTCTTGCATCCAGACATGTCCTGCTACAGCCCGTGTGTGCCCTGCCAGCCCTGTGGCCCGACCCCGCTGGCCAACAGCTGCAATGAGCCCTGTGTCAGGCAGTGCCAGGACTCCATTGTTGCCATCCAGCCCTCCCCCGTGGTGGTGACCCTGCCTGGCCCCATCCTCACCTCCTTCCCACAGAACACCGTTGTGGGCTCCTCCACCTCCGCTGCCGTTGGCAGCATCCTCAGCTCCGAGGGAGTGCCCATCAACTCCGGGGGCTTTGGCCTCTCCGGCTTGGGCCTCTCCGGCTTGGGTGGCCGCTACTGCGGCAGGAGGTGCCTCCCCTGCTAAAGCTGCTGGTGATGGCCCTGGGGAAGGGCCCAGGGACCCAGAAGATGGGACCTCACTGGGGACAGGGCCTTGGGTTGTTGCTTCCAGAGCAGCTGAGCAACCCCAGCACCACTTGCACAAGGACGGGGCCAGCCTTGTGCTCTCACACAGCATGGCCCATGCTGCTTTTTCCCTCTGCCACTCTTTCTCCCCACAGCCATGGGGGGCAGACTCCTCTCTGCCCCTGATGCTCCCTGCACCAGGATCTCCACTCACAGTGTCCTTGTTTCCCATTTTTGCCTCATTAAAGATCTGCTGCATCCCAACCCAGGCCTCTCTGTCATCCTTTGCCCTACAGACCATCTCCCAAGATGCCCAGTGAGATAGATGTTCTCAGGGCTGGCTCTGGGAAGGAGTTTTTGGGGATGGTTGTGCTATAGTTGTTAACAGAATGACTGTTACCTGCCACTGCATGGTCCTTCCCTCTGTTGACACTCCAGACACCCACAGTAGGAAGTGTGAGTGTTTCTTCAAGGTTATTAGTTGGTGTGGGGGGAGCACATGGAGAGCCTTCACCCTCCCCAAAGGAAGGGAGGGTTGGACACTCTGCAGTGGGCCCTCTTCAGGCACTGTCACTTGCAGGTGAGAGAAGCATCCATGACTCCTCCAGAGTCCCTGGCCATCAGGCCTAGCTTTGTTGAGCCTTTGCCCAAAAATGGCCTCTTGGGCTTGGCGCAAATGCTGCAGAAGGGGTGTGTGGCAACTCCAAAGCTTGGTTGAGGAGCCTGGGCTGTGGAAGGCCTTGGGAGGGCAACAACCCAACAGGGACTTGAGAAGTGGATGTTGCTTTACTGGGTGGGGAGCAAAGGCTCAGGTAGAAAATGCTCCCAGAGAATAGCAGGAGTAAGAATGAGGTGATTCAGCTCACAATGCACGTCAGCATCCTACTGCCATCTCTGCTGTGGATTTCCTGAGGAAAGTCTCTGGAGAGAGGCAGGCAGTTGTGGGCAATCGTTCTTTAAGAGGAGTTCTCTAAAGCAGTGCTGTCACTATTAGGAAAGACTGCACAGAAGGTTGCAGCTGAGGAAGGGGGCTGCTGAACTGCTTCAGGACATTCCTGAGCATGATGCAAGAACCTCCCAGAGCCCTAATCAGCAGCAGAGACACTGGCAGCTTTCTCTACACACATCTGCGAGCCCTTTGCTAGCAAAAGCTCAAATGCAAGTCAGGAAAATTAGTTCTGCTGGAGAACAACAATATAAACGTATTCTCCACTGGGGAGATCATCCCATTGGAAGATGAGCTTGCTGTTGGGCAGGTGCTAATCAGTCTAAAGAGGGAACAGACACACATGGCTCAGCTTCCTTGCCAAAGAAGATGGCCATGGTCATGATGCCTTTTGAATTCACAACATGTAGCCCTGAATTTGGCACAGTCTTTACCACCATGGTTGGAGAGCAGTACACAGTATTCAGCACTTCAAACACTGCTGACAGACTGTCAGCAAGTGAGGAGCTGCTTTCCTTCTGCTTGATTTTGCTTCAAGAAAAACGAGGTGAAGATCATATGTGGAAACAAGAAAGCAGAAGGCAAGGCAAGATGCACTGCTGCTCAGGGTGAGCTCTGCAGAAGCCATGTGTCATGTGCCCCATGCCCTGTCACCATTGCCCACCCTTGTATCAGCAATGTCCACTTTACATCCTGCAGCCCAACAGACAGCTCAGGACGGGCATCTAAGACACATGTCAATCACTCCCTGGCTGGGGAACACTCTGGAAATGGGGATGAAAAGGGTCATTCCTGTGTATAAACCCTTGGGTTTACATAATGATCAGAGCTGGGTTATGATCTGCATTAGTGCACATGAGAAATACTCCACTACAAGATCATGCATGCAGGGAGACATCTCAGTCCTTTGACAGATTTAGCCCATCTCAGGCTCCTGGAAACAATTCAAGGTTCTACATAGTTTTGCATATAGAAGGACATGCAGAGGCAAGCCTCTGTCTGTGGCTGAGAATGTCTGTCACTAATATCTCCACTCAAGCCTTTACTGCTCCCCTGGTGTCCTGTTACGACTCTATAAACATACTACCACTTGTATCTGAAGATGATTCTCCTGCTGTTACTACCAGAGAACATAGGTAATGTCTTCAGTTACCTCCTGAAATGAAACCAGGCAGGGCAGGATCTCCTGCCAGCAAACCATGCACTTGCCAGCCTGTAGTGGAGACCTCAGAGCAGCTTCCAGTGTCTGAAGGGGGATACCAGGATGCTGGAAAGGGACTCTTCATCAGGGCTTGTAGTGATAGGACAAGGGCTGATGGGTTCAAACTGAAACAGGGGAAGTTCAGTTAGATACAAGGAAGAAGTTCTGTACCCTGAGGGTGCTGAGGCGCTGGCACAGGGTGCCCAGAGAAGCTGTGGCTGCCCCATCCCTGGCAGTGTTCAAGGCCAGGTTGGACACAGGGGCTTGGAGCAAGCTGCTCCAGTGGAAGGGGTCCCTGCCCGTGGCAGGGGTTGGAACTGGGTGAGCTTTAAGGTCATTTTCAACCCAAACCATTCCATGCTCTGACTCCAAACTGAAGGGACGTGCACCGTGGTTTGCAGATCCAGATCCCTACATCACCAACCTTCTGCTTCAAAACAAAACCATTTCTGCATTCACTGAACATGTATTTTTTGGCTGCAAAATGAGGCAATCGTGAGGCAGAAGCTTTTAAAGCCGGCAATGTGGGGAGAGGAAGCAGCAGGGATCTCTGCTTTCAATTGACAGAAAAACCTCTGTTTTTTATCACCTGCACCGCCTGTGCCTGTGAGTAGGGTATAAAAACGCGGCCTTCATTTAAAGCTGTCTCTTTGCTTAGAGCCTTTGAGGCACGAGACCTCTGCGAGCAGAAACCATTGCTCCAAAGCAATAGCGCTCAGCGGGTTTGCAGGAGGCACGGCTCCACCCTGCCCTCGGCCACCTTCCAGCTCACCCTCAGCGACACGGACACATTGCCCCTACCCTGGGACGCAGTTTCGAGGTTTCGGGCCCTATTTGGGGCGCCGGTGGCGAGGTTGGGTCGGGAGGAGCCGCCCGTCCCCTCACGGCCCGGCCCGCCGCGGCCCGGGTAAGATGGCGCCGGACACAGACGCAACCCACGGCGTTGCCATGGCAACCGCTGTACGGCGGGAGGGGCCCCGCGCCGTTGCTAGGAAACATGCGCGCAGGCGCGAAGGCGGCGCAAGGCGCGAGGCCGCGGTGCCTGAGGCGCGGCGCCGGCCGGTGTCGTGTGCTCCGCGCTCTCTGCATCGCTTCCCCATGGAGCTGGAGGATGACTTCGGTGAGGCTCGGGATGGGATCTTGCAGGGGGAAAGGGAAGGAGAAGGAAGAGGAAAGAAGGGGAAGGTGGCGGCCGTTCACTGTGTGCAGGCCCCAGCCCAGCCCGGCCCGGCCCGGCCCGGCCCTATGCGAGTAGCTCAGGGTTTGTCGCTGGGCTTTGTGTGGAGCCAAGTGGGTTGTTGATTATTTTAACTAGGGCAATCTTATATGTGGTTACCACTCTGGTAACCATATAATATTGGTGCTCCGTGCTTCAGGTGTGGACTTCAGGAAGTATCTGGACAAAGTGACTTAATTTCGTTAAAGCGTTGCTCCCGCCTGTACTGTGGTCTCTGCTGACTCCAGACACGTTTTTAGGATTGCTGTGGATTTGGGTGTGCAGGCAGTAGGGTTAGGGACAGGTATCTCCTTCGAGCATGGCGTTGCTGTGGTGCTGGAGAGGCTCTGCTCCTTACAGCAGAGATACAATGTTAATTGTATCTCTTTACCTGATCAGGCCAGCTCCTGTGCTTGTTTTTGTGTCTGTTGTTTTACGTAATATGGTGAGAGCTTTCCTTTTCCTCTTGTCTCTATCTCCTTCCCTTTCCTGGTAGTGCACTTGGTCTGATTTGTGTTGAGCTGCTTCAAGACAGAAACCACTTCTGATTGCTCTTCCAGGGACAGTGGAATCAGTACAAAGCTTGTCAGTCCTTCTGAGTGAAGACTTTAGCTTTCAGCTGTTCTCAATGATCTAAAGTGACTAATAGAGGTGAGAGGTGCTCACAGGTAGCAGAGCTGGCTGCAGCAGCACTGCACAGCTGAGATGGAAAGAAGGATTGGGTCTGTCCCTTCCTTTGTACTGGCTCAGGCTCACAACTTTATCTTGTGGCTCATAACAGAAAGTCTGCTTATTATGACTGGTGAAACTGCATCTTCCTTGTCCATGGGAGAAGGGTTGGAACTAGATGACTTTTAAGGTCTCTTCCAACACAAACCATTCTGTGATCTTAACCAGTTGTCAGCCTGTAGGCTGATACAGCTCCCTGACCTGGCTGTTGAGACAACTGAGCACCAATGCATGTGTAAGAGAAGGGAATGTGATGGCAGGGAAGAGGCTAAACAGCAGCAGGCCATACTTGGGTCTATTTAAGACACCAGGTGCGCAAATCCTAAGCGTGCTAAAAGCACTGCAAAAAGAGTGTCAGAGTGGCAGGTCTGTTTCCCTGGTGTGTGACCCTCAAGCAGACCCACAGGCAGCACAAGACACCTGCGTTTCCTTCTGGTTGCCCCTCTTCCTCACTAAGAACATGGAAATGTGTTCTTTCCATAGATATATTCATACTTATATTTTAATATAAGTATTCAAGGCCAGGTTGGACAGGGCTTGGAGCAACCTGGTCTAGTGGAAGGTGCCCCTGTGCATGACAGGGGGTTGGAACTCAATGAACTTTAAGGTCTCAAATCATTCTAGGCTTCTGTGAATACATTTTATCTAAAGATAGATAAAAATCTGTATCATGTATGCCTGCACTCAGGCTGCTTCACTGTTCAGTGTCTGTGTTCTTAGGTATTTTAGCTGCTTTAGTAGCATTTCAGCTCCTAAATAATTGCCTGATTTCTAAAAAAGTTCCTTTACAAAGCCCGTGCTCCACATGAGGCACACTGCTTCCTTGGAAATGAAACAAAATTTCCGGGTGTTCTTCATCCAGCAAAACTAGCTGTTGATCCAGAAAGAGTTGTTTCAGGCTGACGGTGCTCCTGGAGGGCATGTCGTCATTCTACTGATTTTCCTCTAAGATAGCTGGAAGAGTAGTGCTGTTTTCATTCACTTTGAGTAAGTGTGGTTACCTGCCTAATATGGTAACTTAGAGGGTTGTTATGCTCAGTGCTCAGTGACAGACTGTTCTCTGTCTGTTTTGACTAACATCCCAGTCACAGAAACTTCAAAATGAATTTGGTTATGCAAAACAGGTGCCTGCCTTAATGAATGATTTCAAACTGAGAACAACCGGTTTAACTCCTTAAGATCACAGCCCTGAGGTGATGGTATGTTTTTTTCCCCACTTCGCTGTGTTAGTGACCCCAAATCTTTTCTTCCTAACCATTTTTTTTTCCCTCTTCCATTCTACTAGATGTTTTGGATCCAGAGAGATTAATACAATGTCCATATAATAAACATCATCGAATCAGAGCCTGTCGGTTTCCCTATCACCTGGTAAAGTGTAGGAAGGTAAGCTGGACTGCCAGACCTATAATTCTGTGCCTGTGAATATGACGTGCATGTTCTTTATTCTTATTGCATTTTCTTGCTGGCTGCTGTAAGTTTCTGACAAATAGCCTTGTTTAGCCTTTATTTCATAACTTTATTATTTGATTAGTAATAGCTTCAAGCACGTGTTAATTTACCCATGACCAGTGTGGCTTTTGTTGAAAGGAGGTAGAGATTCTTCATGGTCGGGTCAAGGAGGAAACTCTACTCTCTTCCAGCAGCTCACATGGAGGTCAGATACGTTTTTCCTCTTTAAGTTGAAGAGAGAACTCAGTCTGAGTTATGTGACCTGCTTCTGGCTCATCAGAGTGGAAGTGTTGTGATGTTGAAATTCACTCTTGAAGTGCTGGAAATGCAGCTGCAAACAGGGTTAGGATTTTTTTTTTTGGTCTTGCTAGTAACTATTTAAGTGCATCTGTCAGAAACTGTACTTCCTGACCTTAGCACATACGGGAGAGGGCTTTTCCCCTCCCCATCTTTTAGCCAGAATTTAAATACAAATCATTTAATAGGAAGCATTCCTTCCTCTCTTCTCCTTTGTTGTCCTCATGGTTTATTTACTTTAAACCTGCAAGTGCTGGCATCTGACTGAGCCTGAGGTTTTGCTGATACCTTTTAAAACCCAATTGTTCCTCTTTAGGTTTACCAGTGTAACCTTGACAATGTATTTTTAAAATAGTATAACAGTGCTGTGTCATGCAGTTAAGGTATAGTTGTTGGGGACGTGTCCTGGTATCGATACTTATAAACAATTCATTTTTGTGAAACTAGAGCCTTAAAAAATGTTAACTAACTAGTGAAAGCAGGGGACAGAACTAAGTGGCAAGTACCTCCATCATTCCAACTTTAAAGAGGGCTGAAATTTTCCTTGTTGACCCCTGAAGATTTTGGCAGAAATGTGCATGTGAGTTAGGTGAATGGTGTTGGCAAGGGAACTTTGAACCACGTTGGGTTTGTCCTTGTGTTGCATAACTGCTGAGCAGACAGTTTTGGCAAGCTTACCTAGTTAGGAGGACAAGGTGAGATAGTGGTCACCAGTCAGACAGAGTTGGTGTCTAAGTAATTAGCAGAAGAAGGGCTCAGGGATTATTATCTCATCCATCTGAAGATGCTACTGTTTTCTTTGTAGTGGCAAGCGTCTGGGTGGAGATTGCCTTCTTACTTGGTAGTTGGTTGAATTTCCTTTGCATGCTCCATGCATAAAATCTAATTAGATGTTCCCAACTGCCTCAGCTTCCCATTGCTTGTGCAGAATGTAGCCATTCCACACAAACGGGGACACTCCAAGCAGAGCAGGTTGAATCCTTTCAGCTTGAACTGCATTAGCATTGAAAAGCTTCTGCTGCGTGGCAAGAATAGCTTGCTGAAGCTAATTGAAGCAAATGATGGGCACATGAAGACACGGCAACCCTGGCTGTATAGGCTGGGTAATGACAGACACCTTGGATGTGCCTGCAGCTTGTGCTGCAGTCACGTATCGGTGGTAGTGAGGAGACACTGCCTGGAGCAGCATCAGTACAAGGCACTTCTGCCTCTTCATCTACCTTGGGTGAAAGCCTGTTCCCTGACCAGCAGAGCATCTCTCCCCTACTGTTATTAAAATAGTTTCATCTGTGCTTTAAACTGTGCAGACATATTGCCAGCATTGCAGCAAACTGTAGGAAGTTTAGCTGAGGGTATGTTTCATTTCAGTCAACGCAATGGTGGCTCAGTTTCTCAGTGAATTCTTTTAAAGAACAGTCATGTTAGTTCCCCCTTCCTTGTTTAGTCTTTATTTTTTTATATCTTTTTAAAGCAACATCACAAATATCCTTGAGGGTGGGTTTTTTTTCTGTGGATTAGCAAGAGATAAATGAACTTGAGAGATATGGCACATGATTTTGGTTTTCCCTTGTCTAGAGCTACCCTAAAGTTGCAAAGGAATTGGCCACGTGCCCCTTCAACGCTCGCCATCTAGTTCCTCGAGCTGACCTCAGCGGTCATATAACGAAGTGCAGTGACAGAGGGTTCATTGAGCAAGATGTAGGTAAGAGAACCGCTCGAGCTTAGAGAAGTTTGGTCATCCTGGGGACATAAAAGTCTCCTGCTTGTAAGGACAGCGCATAGGATGACCAAAAAGTGGAAGTCAGATTATTGTCTATAGTTTTGTGTGGCATAGCAGCTTTGGGAAAACTTAGTCTAAAGCCAGGAGATGTTTTACAACTTGATCCAAAGCATTTAATGCCTCTAAAGCAGGACTGACTGCTAGTCACTGAGTTTTCTCCCTTCCTGAAGTGAATCAGTCCTCTGACTTCAAGAGAGAACAGATGAATGCTGTGAGCACGTGGCAGGCACCTCCATGTGATGAAGACTGGGAAGCAGGTGAGGAACTTCCCCATCTGCCGCACCTCTGCCTTCTCCTTGGTCCTGTCCTTCAGCTCTACTTGTGGCAGTGTGAAACTAGAGATGCTGTTCACTTGGGTCTCGCTTTTAGGACACCTTGCTTATGCTCATTCCTAAAAGCATGCACCTCTTCACCCAGCAGGCTTTTCTTGGTGTAGAGAACTATTCAACATACCTGCCATAACTGGCATGGAGGTATATTTCCAAACCTCTGCTCCTTCTCACGTAAGGTTTGGTATCTTATGTGCAGTGATGATAATGGAAACTTGAGAACTTTTATGTTCCTCAGTTAAATGACAGTGAAGCAGACACATTCATCATTAGATCAACCTTTACTCCCTCTTGAACATGTAGAAATATGACAGATATTCCTGATCTGATGGTGGTTGCTGGAGTTTTAGTTCTGAGCCATGACATCTGTTCCCTTTTGCAGAATTGCTGGAGCAGTCAGAGTCTCCTTTTATTTGGGGCATGTGCAACTCTGGCATAAACAGGTAGGGAATATGAGTTTGATTCCTTACAATAATGTTTTCTATAGAGAGATATTGCAACCTGCCCCCAATCCAGCTTTGATGATATGACTTGGGCTGACTTTGCTAGTATTTGTCTAAGCCACTGTGCAGCAACAGTAATGCACTTGGCAGCTCTGCAGGTCTGTTTGAGCTCAGCCATGATCTGTCTCTCCTTTCATAAAGGGTGACAACAGTTCTACCTGATTTCACTTGTTGCCCTTCTTGGAAAACTTCCTAGTGTTCACAGCATGTGTGTGTGTATATATATATATATATATATGTATATAAAAAATATATTCTTCTAAGCACCACCACCTCCAAGTGACAAAGTACCATCCCCTTATGTCCCTGCTCTTCTCAGTGCTGTTGTAAAATGCATAAATTTGATCACCTGTCAGGAGAAGTAACTGTAGTGTTTCAGTTCCAGGACCACCTTTGAGCAAAAGAATTGCTTGCCTTCAAGAGTACGTGCCCCTGAGTCCTTCCCATATACTGTATCATGGAAAGGCTGTAAGTATTATCCATGTTTTGGCACTGTTAATTCTGTAGATGGTGACAGTTGCTGTAATCTCTGGCTGCAGTAGTGCTCTATGGCCACTGCTGCATGGGCAGGAGGGGTAGTATATAACACTTGCCTTCTTGAGAGCAAATTCTGAGAGAATCTGGTGTGTCGTGGTTTGAGCCCAGCCAGTAACTCAGAGCAGGGTAAAACAAAGACTGCTTAAACCAGGGCTACTTGAGGGGAGGGTGGAAGTGGGAAGGAGCTTCCCCTGTTTTAGTGTCTGATACTGAAGTCACAGATGGTTATTTGCTATTAACTACAAAGCAGAAGCTTAAAGATGCTTTGGGGAATGGCTGTCTTGTTTCCTACTTGGAGCAGCTAACTAAACCTGGTACCTGGGGGGCTTTGCAGGCATGGCTTCTGCACAAGTCAGTGACTCCAGTTGCCATAGTGTCAGGCTGAATCTGCCAAACCAAACTGGAATGTCACTTGTGGATAACTGTCCTTGGTTACCAGATCTTCCTCCAAGCATTTGTTTTGTAAGTTACCCTCATCTTCATTTGGTGACTGTTACTGAGTAGATGGACGATAAATTTACCCATCACCAGTTCAGAGCCCTTCCCTCCTCTGACTGCAGTGAGTAGTTAACAGTAGTTAACTGTGAAGTTGTTCCAGTGATTTGGAAAAGGCAGAACTCTTGTGAAGTGGTGATGGATTTCAGGGGGTAGGAGTTTAAGTAGAGGAGGTAGGGTCTGATTAAGTTCCTAATCAAAGAAGTGACAGTGGGAAACAGAACAGTACAGGGGGATTGCACGTACCCCTAAAATCTTGCCCCTTAGCTTTAAAACAAGTGTGTGTTTGAAAAGAGGCTCTTTCAGAGTTGTGTTTTGTGCTAATTGTAAAAGAGAGGCTGGAATTATGCTGGGCCAAAGGGGAGAGAGGAAATGCCCTGCAAAAGTGGCAGGTATGTGTGAATTCAGGCCTTGGCACAGCAGGAACTATTGGAGTCCTATGTTAGTGGAAGTCATGAACCACACAACAGAGTGATTTGCAGGAATTTCTACCCTGCACCATAAGCATGTCTTGCATCTGCAAAGCAACGCTCCCTGCTGCTGTTCTCAGGAGAGTATGGTGCCGAGCGTGGTTTCTGTGGGACTTCTACTGGACATATCTGAGAACATTTGGTTGTTTGATGGGGAGGTGCAGAAAGCTTTCTCTGCAGGAGGCTTTCTAATGTCATAACAACTGTAGTCATTTGAGGGCCTGTTGCAACCTGGAGAGCATATAGTTCTGAGAGTTTCTTCAGCTTGCAAGGAGGCTGAGACTTCCTACTGTGTAATGTTAAATTAAAATGATCTGCATCTGCCAAAGCTGGAAGAGTTTTTTCCCTGGGCATGCACTTTTTGCTTGTTATTTTGTTGGCATTTGAGTTTGTCCACATAGGGTGTGGGAAGTGCGTAGTTTGGGTTTTAAACTACATTGTCATTTACAGAGACTTCTGCCTTCGTTGAAAACATCCTGATCACGCCTTTGAAGCTTCAAGCCTTGACGTTGTCACATGAGTGAGCCCGTGGTGCTTCAGGTCATATGTTAATGGGGAATCCTCTGTGACTTCTTTACAATATGAGTAATACCAAGCAGGGGAAGTTTAAAGAGTACACCTAAGTGCTCATCTAGTTTCCATTAGAGTTTTTAAGTTTTCTAACACATAAAACATGTTTGAGGTTCTAACATAACCGGTCTCTGTTGGGGAGGGTGGAGGCAGGAATAGTTTAAGTCACTCAGAATACATATTTGGGTCTGTGTAAATGTTTGGCTTAAGCAGTGTATTTCTAAAAGCAGATGCAAAGTTAAAAACAGGATCTAAATATACAAAGAATTAAGAAACCACATCTGGTATTTGTCAAGAAAGAAATGCTTTTCACATTTTGAAAAGTATGTTCCTCAAAGTACTAGATTTTTCCCATTTGTATTCCTATCAGTGTAACACAATACATGTGGAATAGAATGTACAAAATCAGGCTTATTTTAAAGTTCAGTTCTGTTAAGGTTCTTGTTGGTAATTTAGAATAAAAAAGTTATGAATACTCTTGGACTCATTCTAAAATTCACCTGCAGTGATTTGTTAGACTCCTGTTGAATAAGGAAATGCCTCCACAGTAAACCCTCCACTCAGCCTTTATTTGATTTTCCTTTTGCCACTTCAAATGAAAGTGGTGGCAGATGTCAGCTTCTGGATTGGCTGCAGTAGCTTATTTGCAGGATTTGTGGGCTGGAGTGTTGTAATTTTAGATAGATGCCATAATTGGGCCCCATTATCCTAATCTCATTTAATTGCCAGTTGGTGAAAGGCTTAGTGCAGTAACTGCCTGCTTTTGGTTGGGACTGCCCTGCAGAGGAGGTGCAGAGAAGGGCTTGGAAGGTCATGCTTGTGACTGCACAACATCCCCTGGCCATAGTAACTGGGGGGTAGGGACCACAAGAAGTGGGTCTGTCTTGTAAGGTGGGTGCGACCAACACGTGATAGAGCTCTGAGATCTGAAATCCCATATCCTCAGTCTCCTCAAGCATGTCCTGCATGCGCTGCTGCCTTTGAAGAGCAGGAAACCTATCATTTTACTGTTCCCTGCAGTTACCTGGGAGGGTTGGGGAAAGTGATTAACAGGCTGCAAGGGTGTAAAACACAGAGATGACCCTCCTCCAGTATTATGACTAGGTAAAACCCCAATATTATGTGTCATTGGGCTGTCAGCTCCTTCTGATTGTTTTGTATTCACCACAGGACAAGGAATATTTTCAGCAGTATGCCAAACAGCAGCTACTCCAAGGTAGCAGAGTGAGGACTTTCATGTGACTACCACTATGGTCACAGCCACAATATTCCTGTGTTAAACTCCCAGTCTCTAGTGATGGGTAGGCTGGTCGGTGCTGGAACCTTTACCCCCTAGAGGCTAGATGTGGCCCTTGCCAGGAGAAGTTGATGGGATATAGGCAAATACCAGCCCCTTCTGGTCTGCCAGGGAGGGGTTTGGAGCGTGTACTTACTTCAACCTCAGTTTCTTGGAAGCTCAGCAGTGCCTGTGCTTGCTGTGAGCACTCCGATGGGTGCATCCTGCCTGCTGGGCCATTTCTGCCTTGTCTGGGCTACCAGCGTTGTGGGAACAGGACTGGTCCGACTAGAAATGCCTATGGATACCTGGGATAGAAATGGTTGTCAGCAGTTGTCACTTGTGACTCAGAGGAGAGGCACTTTTTCCCTTTAGGCACAGATTCCTGGACACACCGGAATTCCTTGTTGTTGCTCCTGGTGCCCTCTTAGGTTTGTTCAGACTACTGGGTAACCAAATCCTAAATGTGCTAAAAGCCTGTGCAGAAAAAAGGGGCAGAGCAGAAAGGATGGAAGAAGCCAGGTCTTTCTCCATGATGTGTACTCCACAGGCAGCACAGGGCACCCATGTCTTCCTCTGGCTGCCACTCTAAGAATATGGAAATGTGGGCTTTCCATAGAAATATTTATATTTTAATATAAATTATATATACATTATATATTATGTATAATATATATAGAATACATTCAAATATATTATAAATAACATTTTAATGTGTTGAAAGTCAGGTTGGACAGGGCTTTGGAGGAACCTGCTCTAGTAGAAAGTGTCCCTGCCTGTGGCAGAGGGTTGGAACTGGATGAGCTTTGACATTCCTTCCAACACAAACCATTCAGTGATTCCATTCTAAAATTCTTATACTTACACAGTATTACTGTGAAGACATGACACCATCACTTTTGCATTATGTCACAGCTCAAAAAGAGGTATTTTTCTTCTACTGTTGAGACATTTGATATTGTTACTACAGTCACGGGTAGTGTTATTACTGGTTTTGCCTCATGCTACAGGAGATGTTGCTTTTTGCATTCTTTGCTGGATGTTTTGTCATTTAATAAGTGGTTTGTAGCTGTGGGGAACTTGAATGACTGCAACGCAAAACATAAATTGCAAGGGAAAGATGATCTTTCGCACCTTCCATACTAAAAGATGCAAACTGGGCTACTCCACATGAACCCTCTCCCTGCTGGTGCCTTCTCCTCTGCAGAGGCCCCTCTTCTCTCTGTCCATTCTCAGTGAACTGGGAAGAAAATCCACCCTGCATTTCCCATCTCCATTCTCCTCATGGCACATTTTCTCCCTCCATATGCAGGACATTCCTGGTTTATGCCTCCCTGCATGTTTCCATTTGGCTCCATGCTCCCCCTCCTCATGGTAGCGGAAACAGCCACCTCTCCCTTTGGTGGAGACTTCAGTTCCTTCAGGTGGAGCATCTTCCACTACTCACCTTCCTGGGCAGGCAAACAGTGGGAGAGATCACAGGAGGAAGGATTGGGTCACTCAGCTGCCTCCTCTTGTGTCCCCACTGGCTGGAGGCTTTCATTCCTTTTGCTGCCAATGCGTTTATACAAGCCCTTCTTATCCCTCACTAGTTTCAATGCTGGCTGAGCTTTGTCCTTCATTATCCATTCCTCCAAGGGGAACTGAGCCCATTCCCACTTCCTGTAAAACTTCCTCTTCACATCTGAGCTCAGGCAGGGGTTCCTCATTTGGCCAAGCCAGCTTGTGCCTACCTGTCTCAATACTGAGAATACCGGAATGTGTCCAGCTTGGTGAGGAACCTGAGCACATTCCATGTTAGCCAAGGTAAAAACCTCCATTTGGTTGAAAAAAGATCATCTTTATTCCCATCACATGAATCACATCATGTCCCACCCTTGCCCCTTCATGTATAAAATACTGGTAAAAAGGCTTTTTTTTTCCAGAGGCAAGTTAATTTCCAATATCCTCTCATGAGAACAGTTCATCCAACAGCTGGGATACTTGGCCATGCCACACGAGTTCAGAAACAAAACAACTCTGTTGAGGGAAATGTGGTCTTTAGGGCGAAAGAAAACTACAGAGAGCCACAGCAGCAACATCTGTAAAGATACGAGGGTTTCAGCTCTGTCTCATTTCATGTTAGGAGGAATCCTGAGCCTGCCTGTGCTCCTGCTGTACTGACAGAAGCACAGATGCCCTTGTACATCGTTTTGGACTTGACATGTAGTACAGATCTGTTGAAGTCATCAAATCCAGTTACCCAGCCAGTTCCTTCAAGCCCCACACTGCACCTCTAGACAGTGAATAGCAATGACACTGCTTACAAAGGAGAAATCAGCCTACACAAGTACACGGAGACCCTAAAAGGGCAAAATAAACAGAAACATAGTAAAATGCCAACATAGTTTCAAAACCAGGAAACAAAAAATCCAGTTCCAATTATTTTATGGCTCCTACTACAAGCCAAATATAGGAAACAAATTGGCTGAAGTCCCACCTTGGTAGAAGACAAATCCTCCTATGCCAGGTCACAACTACAAGAACTTGACACACCATCAGAGGACCATGAAGTTGTAAACTCAAGGTGGAATTGGACCAGTTTATGGGAACAAAAAGTATTTGTCAGGGATCCCTTAGAAGGTGCCCAACTGATCTCAGAGAAGAGGATCTCTCAAGTGCACAGTATCTGAGTCTGTGAGATTTCAGATTTAAAATAAATGTAAGGTTGATTTAGATACAGGATTTAGATTAAAGATACAGCAAGACAGATGATTTATCACTGCAGATTTCCTCTCCTTTTAATTCTCTCGTCCTTCAAACAACTGTACTTGATCTGCTAACGTGTCTCCTTGGGAAGGCCTGGTGGACTGAGGAGCACAGAGCACACTGAGAAGCAGAAAATGGACAACCAGAAGGCATGCTGCACACTGGATATGTAACAAGCATCAAGGCTTTCTTCTGCTGAACCATTTGAGAGGATTATCTAGGCACTGACAGCAGCCTGGCCTTCACTTCTGTATCTGCTTGAGCCAGCCAGTGCTCTGAGCCCTGGCTCTTCTCCTGCCCTGTGTTCCAAGTATGAAGCTGACTGGCATGTAACAGCAGATCAAACTGGGTTCTCTCATCTGGGCATAAAGCTGTACCACAGCACATAGGCCAGGCAAGCTATAAAAAAGCTGCATAAACAGCTAAACCCTGCTTCACTTGCCCATATTAACCCAAATTCACTTTGTACAGTTATTAATACCATTTCTCCAGACTGCATAATAAAAGCAAAGCTCATTGCATCAGAGACAGAATGTAGAACTTGTATCTGTTACCAAGTAAGAGACTCACAACCATTCCAGGCAGAAAAAAAAACCAAGGAATTGCCATCATTATGCCACATCATCTGAATATGACCTTTCTGTGTTGGACATCTGGAAATGCACCAGATTTGTACACACATCAGAATGGGAATGTATCTGAAGGCTGATTGAAATGGATGATGCCCAAAATCTCAGGAAAGCCGTTCCAATGGAGCCCCCCCCCAGTCCACAGGGAAAGTGCCATATTTAAACAATGAGGCGTTTCAAAGCTGGCTGTCCTCACCTCTGTGAGATGATGTGTATGGCAGTCTTTCACAGTAATTCTGCAGGTACAAAGGGTAACACAGAGAACACCCTTCACCAAGTGTGAGAGATGTTTTTAGCATCCCAAGGCACGTAACTTCAGGAAACTCTTTTGACACAGCTCATTTTAAGTGAATGGTCTGTTGCCCTGATCCCACTGTTACTCTGAACAGCACAGAGAGCCCATTCCAGCTCTATGAACATAAAAATCAGAAACCTCAATTTGAGCACAGTGAGGACTTGCCTGCTTCACAGACTCAAAAAATACCATCCACAGAGCACAAAACCCCAACCAACAGAAAGTGAATACAACTCACCAAAACATGACGTGCACTAGCATTAAAAATGTCTTAGAGGTTATATTTGGTACTAGGCACAGTGGGATGACACAGGCTTGATGTGCATCTAGCTGAAAGCAGGCAGTACAGCATTCAGCTTCCACTGGGAAGCTGCAGGGCATAAAAAGGTACCAAAACATACTTGGTATGGAGAAGCATTTCAGCCTAAAACAGCAATACTTGGTATGGAGAAGCATTTCAGCCTAAAACAGCAATACTTGTGCTGGTTAATACTGTATGTATAAACAAAAAAGTTAGCTGAGGTTATAACCGTGCTTTAAAACCCTTCCCCACAAATCCATCTCCCTGCAAGCAAAATGGTGAGTCTGCAGATGGGAATCCTTTACTTCCCATCTTTCTGCACACTGGCTCCCCAGGAGTGTGCTACAATTGGTGCAAGTTCTCCTCAGGGGCATTCTTTCATGGCAAAATACAGTGATCAGGATCCCTTCTAGCTAGTACAGGAAAGGCTCATTACATCTTATGCTCTGCCTTTGAATCCTCTTATCCCTACCTATCCCTATCCAAAGGACACTCCTACCTTGCAATACAGCTGGGTAAAGTTTTCACTGCTGCTTCCTACTTAACAGACTCTTAAACTTGCAGACAATGAGGTGAGAGCAGGAGGGGATGGGGTAATTTTTTATAGGACCATTCTCAACTACAGTGTTCCCAGAGAAATTTGTTTCCCTGTGTGCTTCCCGCACGAGTGTGATTTGTGAACACTGGAGTTCACAGGAGGGGCTTATCCAAAGCAGCACTCAAAGGAAAGTACACTTTGGAGGACAGTCCATCTTGCTCCAAAAGACCATTGCCTCTGATAATACAGTTCAGTAGCTCATGTCAGATACTGCACGACGAGAAACATAATGACACAAGTCAGAATCATTCCCCCAATCATGAAGTATTTATCTTGGAAGGCTCGCTTCTCAATCAGCCGCATCACTGTGTTGGATAAGCCCAACATGTTGGCCACATCCAGGATCTTCTTATGAGTACCCTAAGAATAAAAAGACAGCAAAGAGAAACAATTAACCTCATGGTCCAACACTTCTTATTCCACACAGCCCAAGAGTATTTCATCATGCGTGGCAAGTGATGAATTCTGATCAGTGGAACTTGCTCTTAGCCAGCAGTTCCTACAATCTAAGACCAGGACCCTGGAAATAGCTGAATGGTGAGACAGATTAATTCACACACACAAGTAGGAACGTGGTTAAAGATACACAACAATCTGTCCAGATGGAGACATCATGAAGAGTGTCTCAGAGAACGTGCACTCCCTACAGAGGCATTAAGAATTTTCCTGGTCCTTTTCCAGACACAGTCCAATAACAGCTTGAAGTTTCTTCATCAGACAACCTTTCTTGTACAACTTCCCTCCTGCTGAAGCACAGTTCATACCAACAGGAGGTTGAAAAGTGGGTCTAGAAACTCGTAAGGCTAATGGTAGAGTGCAATGAAAAGGCATATAAAAGTGTAGTTAATGTGATTTCAAGAAATCTTTCCAGAGAAAAGCACTGAACAAAGGGTGCAGACAGGCCCACACCTCAGTTCTGTTTCACTGCTGAAGCAGTTGGTATTATTCAGAATGGGATGCCACCAGTTTCCACATCGTGAGCAGTAAGCACATGACAGGCAAACAGGACAGGAGGCAGCAAACACCCTTGTCATACCATGGTAATGATAATGGACCTAGTGTCTCAGAATGCCTTCTGGGACCAAGTCTTTAACAGCACACCCTGCTTCAGAAAGCCTTAAGATTAGTTGTGTCTTCTCTGAGCAGGGACAATAGCACAGATTCCCATCACAGCACTCTACTACCTTTAAATAAACCTCTGCCTTCTGTTCTCCCAGTCCACTGAATCTGTGCTTGCAGGAGACTAAAAAGGTGAAATTTGGCAATGGCTTTCAGTATAAACCTGCCTTAAGATCAGAAAAGCTCTTTGTGGACAGAATCCAACTATATTGGACATACATGCACAAACAGTTTCTCAATCCATAAAATACACAAACTTGCAGTACCAAGTGAGATAACCAGTTTCTTCTGTGGAAGGTCCTTTGCTGAAATCAGGTTATGTCTTTGTTAGTTAGACATAATCACTTTTTTCACCTCATTTCATACCCCTCACATCAAACCCTGGATACTCTGCTTTCAAGTTCAGCACTTCTGTCTCTGCAGCAATGTTTCCATGCTAGTTCACAACGAAAGAAAAACTCGCTTGGAGAACAGAAACCAAACAGGAAGCTTTAAAACCAAAGCAAACAATAGGAAAGTGAAGACTTTTCAAGTCTTGGAGTCAGTGGAACTGTACAGCCAGAACAGTTAAAGTCTTACAATAAGTTAGGAATACTTGGTTCATGCACACTTATATCCAATACCCAAGAAGTTACATGGAATAACAAGCTTCCAAATTAACCCATTGATCTTTGTGAGCTGTCTCCAGGCTGACTGCTTCTGCCAGATTTGTAAATGAGCAACAAAGTCTTTGGTACGTAAAAACAGCTAAACTAAGGGGAAAAGGAGTAAGAACAGCTATTTCCTCATCTGTGAGTGAGAAGATAAATACCTCTGAAAACATAAGGACCTGATGCTTCTGAAAGAACAGAATTCACAGCATCCCATTCTTTAACACAAACAAAAAGCAAAAGGGAACAGAACATAACGTTAATCACTCCAGATAGTAAGTACCATGCAGGTGAAGATTGTTAGGCCATCCAGCCCCCAAAAGAGCTTAAAGATGTTCCTGCTAGGATTATAAAATGTAAAGATTTCAGGTTTAGTTTAAATGGAGTTTTAGCCTTCAAGCATTCTCAGCTTGAAGCAGTGTAATGGAAGAAAGTCATGTATTTGTTTTACTTAAGTCATCACAAACACAGGAAAATGTGGGGTCTTTTTGGTAAAACAGGATGCCCCCACCTTTAATGTCACTCTCTGGTCCCTCAGGCCCTGAAGGATGTTGGTCCCACTGCCAATAAGATCATCCATGCCACGATGGGCATTCTGGAGGGATTCATTAAACTGTAATGTTTCGTCGATCGGTATGGTGGTGTCAGAGTCCTGTGGGGGAAATGCAGGGTCTTGGTTACCTTGCCTGCTCACACACACAGTCCACACATAGTTAGATCCACAAAAAGAACATGCAGAGACAACTGTGGCAAGAAAACCTTGACAGGACTTGAAGGATTATGTTTTAAACAGGTTTTCATACAGATACTAAATACATTTATATTTGAGTAGAAAAAGGTAAGAGGAGCCTATGGGAGGCAAGCCAAAAGGCAAAGTTGATCAGATGTGTTCAACTGCAATTAGTTTTCAAAGGCTAAAAAGTCAGATTAAAAGTGGAGAATTTCTTATAGACTGATCTGGGGTAGGAAAGGGTATTACAAGAGAGAACATCAGAAGTAGCAGAAGGTGTTTAACGTGGAGTCATGTGATCCCTGCAAGTGAGAGATTTTGATTTAGTATCACATTTCTAAGTGACAAAAGGCCTGCAGAACACTCTAAGTTTACATCATGGTGCATACTTCTGAGGAGGGCAAAAAGACATTGACCTTGCTCCCTGAAGGTCTGATTTGCTCAGCAGCCAAGGCCTAGGCTTAAAAAAAACCCAGAAACCATTAAAAAGTAACATTTTTTCCAGAAAAGATGCATTAGCTCAAATACGCATCTGGAAATGGAAATAACTGGATAAAACTGTAATCTGGATTGCACAAGAGAATGGAGGATGTGATCGCTTTTGTCTTTCAAAGGCCTCCAGTTTAATCTTCTCTGGACACCTTTCCATCCAGAGAATCAAGATGACAGCTCATCACTCCCACCCTGCTTTATGAACAGGAATCATGATATTGGTAAGAGGTAAGCATGGAACCACTGGCATACCTGCTCCCATGTACTCAGTACAAGAGCTACCAACATGCAGAATTCATATTTAGGCAAAAGATGGTTTATACCCTACATCTGACTGCTGGCTGGAGGTTACAAACACATAACATCATCAAACTTGCTCTGAGGAGACTCTGGTGATTATTATAGATGTTAATCCACTGTCAGATGTTGTACAGCCTCAAGGGGTGTGCTGCTGACTGTAAAAGAGTGAATAAAGGACAAGAGTTGTTAGCAGCCACAGGGTCAAAGTCAGTGGATGAAGGACCTGTGTCAGCACACACGTCTCTGATCAAATGTCAATGAAGCACTGAGGTTGAAACAAGTGTCTTGTCTTACATGAGCCTGCAGAGCAGGAGCACTTGGATTTGCAGCTGAGCAGCTGTTATTTCAGGTATGTATAAGACTTCAGATGAGCAAAGATTCGATTTCCTAAATGAGGAGCTTGTAGGGTTTCATCATACACCCCAAGGCAGCAAGAAAACTACCAAAGATTTGACCCTCCTCACAGGGAGACTCGATGGCATCACCTCTTTCATTTGCTGTTAGAGGTTTTCTCCAGAATGGTATGAGGGAAGACCTTTACATAAAGACTGTATTTCTCTTTGAATTAAGCAAATTGTTCAGAACACTGCTACAGCTTTCCAGAGATGTTCTGCATGTTACAGTGACTTACTCAGGATGCTTACACGCTCAGCTGTCATTTCTATTTAATAGGGTAGTGTATAAATAGAATATGTGTGAACTTGTAACCACAACAGATAGGCCAATAGCTGACAAATCAATCATCAGTTTCCTATTAAAGGGTCATTCTACTTTAAAAGTCACAATTCTATTACGAGTTGAAAGAAATACAAAATAATAATGGTTTGGGGTTTTTTCCTTTCATCTTGAGACACCTTTCAACATCTAAAGGAGAAAAAAAAAAAAAAAACAATTTGCCATTTATTTTGTATTTGCAGAGCTACTGCTCTTCAAAACTGTTCCACTTACATGTGTTTTATTTCTGGACAATTTTTTCCTGTAGGAAAATGTCTCCATATTTGCAGAGAAACAACACAGGGTTTTAAAACCAGATCAGGTTTCAGTGTTCCTTTCAAATCTTGTTTATAACTTCAAAATAGCCAACCTAAAGCTCAGGCTCATCTTTATGTCAGGCTTTGAGAAGTGCACTGAACCTCCCAAATCTCAAGAACATAAGACTGCTCTCCCTGATTCTTCCTTGCCCTAACAACACAGATAAGGAATGATAACATAATGACAACACAGATAAGGAATGATGGGTTATATGCAATTAACAAGAAAGAAAAAAGAAAGAAAAGAAAAGAAACCCACAAAAAACAAACCAAAGACTAGCTTTTGAGTCACAGCGAAATGAAAGCTGAAAGCAAACCTACACTATTTAAGCAAAGGAATTTGCACTGGGGAACTTCCCAATGGAGGAACTAAGAATTAACAAGAACAGGTGGAAACACATCCCTGTTATTAGAAACTTTTAAATCATTTACAGATAAAAAGCAAGGGTTTGGTTTTTTTCCAGCTGTGTGATTTGGACAAATTAAAGCTTGCTGACATCTACTGACAGCAGGGTGTATAACAGACAGTTTACAGATGTCAGGATTTGACAAAGGCATTGGCCACAAATCCAAATCAAAAGTGTAAGTACATTTGGTACCTAACTCATTTTCCCCTTTGCAACTACCAGATAAAGTCAGGCACTGGATAAAACAGGAGCAGCAGCTTCTGGAGTCTTTACTACTGCCTCTGAATGGCTCAGGTGTCCCTCATGAGAGCTGTACTTTTTCAGCACATATTGTTATTCTTTTCTATCTTTATTCCACTTACATCTCACAGCAGCATAAGAGTCACCCCTATGTCTTGCCCAAAACTCCTCTGAAAGCCTAGAGCTTCTAGAACCCAGAGAGCTAAAGCAAAGACTATTTACATTCGTAGTGAATGTACGTGCAAGCAACTCCTCTCGCTGTCGCTCCTGCTGCTCCCGGATGTAACGGCGATGCTGGAAGTTCCTCAGAGCTGTCTGCAGGTGCTGAACATCATACTTGAGCTGGTCAACTCGGCTAGAAAAGATCAACAGCAGCGAGACATGCCCAGCAATAAAAATACCATTTTTTTCCAGTGTTCTTAATAGGAATAACGGAGCATTATAAATTAACAGTGACAAATAATAAAGAATAATGGGTTCTACTTATCTAATAGGTAAAAGTCATTCAAGCTTAGGCCTGTATTCCAGGCTTAGATCTTCTGTGCCTCATTTTTCTACTGAACAGGTGATTATTTAACTGGGGGCTAAATGACACACTTGGACATCCTATCTCTTCAGGAGTTATATATATATATATATTCCTCATTTAACACAGATCTGGAAAGACAGCAGGATTTGTAGGGTTTCTATTTCATGACCCCCTTTCCATAAAAGATGAAGCTTTCAGGTTTCATTAATTAGCTTCAAAGTCAGCAGGCAATACAGGAGACCTCTCCATTAGGCTAAAACAAATGACATCCAGAACTCTGTGGTCTCTACTTAAATTTTTGATTATATAAAGAAAGCCTAGATGATTATTTCAGATACTGACCTCTATAATACAGCTGACGTGAAATCCTCCCCTAGTATCAACAAAGACGTATTAGGACCAAACATTAATAGCAGAGTCACAGAATAAAGTAGAACTGAAGGTCCTGAGCTCTTTGGTTCAACCTCCTGCTCAAACCAGTGCTCACTTTAGAAACCTCCTTATTTTAGTCACCAATGGGTAGGAAAGTGGTCCAGAGAAAACTATACCAACTGAAGTAATTCTACTCCTTACCTCCACAAATGCCATTAAAAGCAAATGCCATATAAAGAAGAAATTTAAGCATCCAAGTGATACGTTCTGATCATCTCAGAACAGAGCCATGAATCCAGCTCCATCACCAGTTTATGGTTAAACACAGGAAAGCGATTTTGCCCTCTGTACCTCAACTTTGCTAGCATAGAGCACAGAAATAAGCTACACAAAGTACAAAGTTTTCACTCGAATGAAAAGGCAAAGGGCTTCAATGAATGTAATTAAAATAATACCAAAGACTACACTATCATAGCAAAGGTGGTGAACTTACAGTTTAGCATTCTGTCGCTTATTGGGAGGTTCTTTGCTGGACAGGATTTCCAGACGTTCCAAGTTGCTGAAGATATTGTCTATTCTGGCCTGAATTTCATTTTCTACCACTGCAAGGGAATAAAAAAGCACTCAAACCAGGGTTTAAAACCTGACAGATGCAAATCCTTACTGGATAGGAAAAAATCATCAGTAACCAAGAACTCCAGATACCATGAGAAGCCACTTCTTTACCACGATAATTTGAGACTCTTGCCTTTCCCTCCACCTTCTCCAAGGAAGGAGCTAGGAAACCCCCTGCTCTTTCAAGGTATCCGAGCCTCTTTCCCTGTCAGCTCCATGTATTAGAATTTAAAGGTCCCACATTCTGCCCTTCATCCTCTCCCTGTTCCCTTGGATTGAATCGCTCACAGGAGCCAATAGCCAAAATGATTCTCACAACAATGGCAGTTTAATGGCAAACGGCTAACAGAGTGTTAATACACATCATCCATACCTACAGCAGGGGAGATTGACAGAGCATGGGAAGGATTTAGGAACTGGTAGACTAGACAAAGAGCTCAGAAAGACCTGGCCAAAGCCCTTTCAAGGGAGAAAACAAGGCCACCATAATTGCCTCTGTAATCATCTATATTGCAATTGCTTCTGTTAACCTGTGTAGAAATAGCAAAGGGGCAATAGTACACAGTGCAAACTCACGTACTTTAATGAGGTGGGAAATGGATACAAGTGGGGCAAGAGTCATATGCTTTCAGTTACACTGCACAGCAAAACTCAGTACAAGCCACAACCCCCTTCTTACTTGACAACTGCATTTAACCATGTCCCAATCCAGCATTTCACAACCCAAGAGAATTGCACAGAAGGGCAAAAGACAGGAGCGCTATTAATCACCTGCCAGGTGGGTCTGAAGGTGAGTTGTAGGGCTGCAGGTACACACCCTCCAGAGCACGTCCAGGCTATCATGAGGACATAGGCACTGTCACGCCTGTGCAGCCACAGGGAGAGTCCTGCAGGCTCAGACCTGCTGTAAATCACCACCAAATCCTACAGGCACCATTTGTTCTTATTGCATTTAGACTCGAGGTACTCAGAAAAGCATTATTAATTAACTGCCAGCTACTCCACAGTACCACAGGACTCCCCAGAGAATCCCATTCAGCAGAACCCAGAAAAGCAAAGAGCACCTACAATCCCTTTTCTTTGCCCTTTGATCTCACACCAACAGTAACTAGCTTACATATATAGACACAAATCAATCGAAGTGTCCCAATTCATCTCTCCATCATTCAGTACAGCTAAAGTTAACAGAAAAGCAATCAGGTGAGCAGAGAGACTATGACAGCTTTCGTTAGTCCAAACACTTGTATTGTTATCTTGGTCATCTCATGCATTTCTGAGCAAGAAGGGGTTGTTCACCCACAGCTGGAAAAGGAAAGCTGTAACAGAAAGTTTGATTTCCTGGCTTCTATTCCTGCTCTCCAGCCAAAAGATAATCCCTTTTCCTATAAATTCTGAAATGCTAATATCTAGAGCACATATCCATCCTTAAATATATATCTAGAGAAACAGTATGTTCATTTATTGTCTGTATAAAATGGTACACAATCCTAGCAGTGTCCTTCCCCTGCAGAACTTCCTGATGAGGCCCATTAGCAATTACTCATACAGAAACTGGAGTTTCAAACACAGGTCCAAAATACACTTGCCAAAGTCCTGCCAGAAAATATCACAGTGTTTTATTACAGTCATTTTATTAGCACAGGCTTATAGTCCAAATTCACTGAAGCAATTTCAAACCTACTTGTTCTATGTATTTCTCATCAGCAGATGGAATTACAGGTTCTGATTCTGATGGAAAAACAATCATCCTGCTTAAATTCCTGCACTCCAAATCATGGCATCTTCCCCAGAAACTGGACCAAGCAGCTTTTGGGAAAGACTGCCAATTAGTGGATGCTTGAGGAATAGTAAAATGACAAAACAGATACACAATCACATTTCTCAGCATTCTGAGCTTCTACCAAACTGAATGTGCAGTTATGTCCACATCCATGTGCTCATTAAACCTCCATAACTGCATCACTGCAGGGTTTTATAACCTGTTTATGTTGAAGGCCTCCACAGCAGACCCTGACAATGAGTTTCAACATCTAACAGCACCAAAAAGTCCCTGGCATTCCCATCTCAAGGCACTGCAGAAGCAGCCATAGTAAGCACTACCTGCCAATGAAGGACTTGGAACAGGAAGATGATCTGAAGTAAAGTCTTGCTCTGTCTTTTCTGCTCTGCCCTTCACATAAAACATCACCTTATTGAAGTGAAACAGCAAAGTCATTCTAATGCATTTCCAGCTGCTGATGTGTCTCACCTGCTGACCGCAACGACTGGAAAGCCCAATTTGTACATCCCATGATAAAGTGCACAGGTTAATGATGCAAGCTAAATCAAACCAGTACTGGAATGGGACTTGTCTCACCAACTACTTACAGTGCACTGACTCTTTGTCTGAAGTCTCCAGGCGCCCCATGTAAGACTGGACCTCATGGACTTGCCTTTCAAAAGACAAGGAGTAAATGAACAGAAGTCAGTTGAGAGCTATGAAATCAAATCGTTTGTCAAAGCCTCAATATTCAGCTTCTTTTACTTGAAAGTACTTTTTTCAAACAGAAAAGGAATGAGCTACATTCAGTGCATCACTGAGCATAAAAACCCCAACCCCATTCTTCAGGATAGAGAAAGCTGTGTTCTCAATGTGCACCTACAAAATAAGCTTAAAACCAAAAACAGAGGTGAAAAGGCTTCACGTTCCCACCCCATTTGTAGCTCCCTTTCTGTATTTATAACCTGAACTGGGCCTCCCACACCTGGCACGCTAAAAGCCATTATTTCAACCCAATCCGCAACAACCGCAAAGTCAAGAGTTGAGGCTCGCAGCAGGACCGGTGAGTGCTGAGCCCAGCAGAGGGAAGATCTGACCCCGCTCCTCCCTCCCCAGATCACCTTTGTCTGTGACACGGCGTGGATTTTACCGGCACGGGGTCACACGTTTCCCAGAGTGGTTTAATTTGTGTCCATCAGACATCGCCAACCCCTGCTGCCATAAGAATCCTACTAAATCAGCATGCCCTAACGTATGGATAGCTGATAACACTTGTTTCTAGGGAATCACAGCGGGCTGGGTTGGAAGGGACCTTAAAGCTCCTCCAGCTCCAACCCCTTCCACTGGAGCAGCTTGCTCCAAGCCCCTGTGTCCAACCTGGCCTTGAGCACTGCCAGGGATGGGGCAGCCACAGCTTCTCTGGGCACCCTGTGCCAGCGCCTCAGCACCCTCACAGGGAAGAGCTTGGGCCTGAGAGCTCACCAAGAGCCGCAGCGAGCGCCCCGGGCCGCAGGCCCCGCACCCGCCCCGCACCCCGTCCCCTTCCCCACAGCCCCGATGCTCGGCGCTGCGGGCGGGCCGGGCCGGGCCGCGCTGCCCGCGGGCTCACGCACTTGTTGGTGTGCTGGTACAGCCCCTCCATGCCGCCGGGAGCCCCCCGCTCCCCGCCTCCGCTCCGCCGCTGCCCACGTCGCCGCCGTCCGCTTCCGGCCCCGCCGCCTCTTCCGCTTCCTCTTTCCCAGCTCCCTGCAAGGCGCCTGCGCCGCCGCCGGGGGGCGCTGCAGAACCGCGGTGGCGCCGCCGCCCGCCTGCGGGAGCGGGGTGGGGAGCGCCGGGGGCCGCGGGCGGGGCCGCACGGGTCCGGGTCCGGGTCCGGGTTCGGGTCCGGGTTCGGGTTCGGGTCCGGGTCCGGGTCCGGGTCCCTGCTCCAGGAACCACCGGGGGACCCCGGGTGACCCCTGCGGGCAGCCCCCACACCCGTGTCCGCACCCCCTGAGCGCCCCCGCACCGCGCCCAGGCTCCGGGTGCCGGGGGGATCGTCCCGGTGGGGGTGTGAAGTGCACCCAAACAGAGAAGCTGTGGCTGCCCCATCCCTGGCAGTGCTCAAGGCCAGGTTGGACACAGGGGCTTGGAGCAAGCTGCTCCAGTGGAAGGGGTCCCTGTCCATAGCAGGGGTTGGAGCTGGATGGGCTTTGAGGTCCTTTCCAACACAAACCAGGCTGGGATGCTATGAGAAAGAGCACTTTGAGAGGTGGGGGAGCTTAAGGCAGACAGTTCGTGTCACGCTGTTCATCATCTGATGCCTTGAGATGGGAACAGTCTCCAAAGTGTTTTCTTCTGCTGCTGCTCATTTACAGTTAAGGTTGTGTCAGTTAAGCATACAGGCTGATCACGTAAGAGCAAGTCACTGAGCATCACACACATGTAAACGAGTGAAACAAATACGTATCTTTAATCAGTGAGAGAGTCTTGTTCTCATGTTGGTTGATGAGAAACTGAACATGAGCCAGCTTCAGTGTGCGCTTGCAGCCCAGAAAGCCAACCATATCCTGGGCTGCATCAAAAGGAGCGTGACCAGTAGGTCGAAGGAGGTGATCCTGCCCCTCTGCTCTGCTCTTGTGAGACCTCACCTGGAGCATTGTGTGCAGTTGTGGGGTCCTCAGCATAAAAAGGGCATGGAACTGTTGGAACAAGTCCAGAGGAGGCCACGAGGATGAGCAGGGGCTGGAGCAGCTCCTGTATGGAGCCAGGCTGAGGAAGTTGGGGCTGTTCAGCCTGGAGAAGAGAAGCTGCGTGGAGACCTCAGAGCAGCTTCCAGTGTGTGAAGGGGGCCTATAGGGATGCTGGGGAGGGACTCTTCATTAGGGACTGGAGTGACAGGACAAGGGGTAACGGGTTAAAACTGAAACAGGGGAAGTTTAGATTGGATATAAGGAAGAAATTCTTTACCATAAGGGTGCTGAGGCACTGGAATGGGTTGCCCAGGGAGGTTGTGAATGCTCCATCCCTGGCAGTGTTCAAGGCCAGGTTGGACAGAGCCTTGGGTGCCATGGTTTAGTGTGAGGTGTCCCTGCCTGTGGCAGGGGGGTTGGAACTGGATGATCTTAAGGTCCTTTCCAACCCGAACTATTCTCTGTTCTATGATTCTATGTACCCATCCTTTGATGGATTACACTTCACCTGCCCTGCCCTGCCATGCAGCAAGCCAGGCCTCCGGCGAAAGATCATCCTCTGATGTCTAATAACTCAAGCCACAGAAATCACATCAGCCTAAGAATAAACAGCGCATCAGTAAGAAGCATTGCGTCACTTAGCAGCAGGGACAAATCCATTCACTCCTTGTTCTTTGCTCTCCCTTATCTGAGCCATTAGACCCCATTTTCAAACACTTTCTGGAAACAGAGATGTTGAATGAAAATAGATGCCAGGATTTCTCTCCTGGCCAAGGCTTGAGGAAGTATCACAACAAGTTTGATGAAGCAGCAAGCACTGAGATACAAGAATGGATTCTGTTCCTTTGTAAAGACATTGGGGTTTGCCAGAAACAAGAGGAGCGGCTGTTGCTGTTAGACTTCAGGTCCTTCCAGGAGGAGTCCTTCAGCAAATTGGCTCATTTAGACACAACAGCCAGGAGCATGGAGGGGAAAAGAAAGGGTTTTGTTCAAGGAAAGCCTCTGTATTGTAAACAGGATAAAAGGGGATGGAGAGAGTCACTTATCAATGTCTGATGTGTCCCCAGGTCATTCCTGTGTAGCACCTACTGGAGAAAAGGATTTCACGTTCACCGCTCGCTTAGAAAGCCCAAGCCAACGGTGGGGATTTTCTCTATCAAACAATCTACAGACACCCTGTGCGTTCAAACCCCCATGGGTGCATTCCCCATCGCTCTCCTCTGGCTTGTAGTTTAAAGCCTTGCAGCGCCAAAGGGAAAGCTGGGTCCTTGTAGGGTCTCCTTTGTTCTGCCTACACCTCCCTGCTTTCCCCTCACAGCCATGGGACTTTGTTCTCCCTCTTTAAAAACAGACCCTGATGCTCTCTTTAAAACCAGACCCTAATAATGGGTCTCTCCCTATTTCCCTAAGCATGATCCCAACAGGTACAGAAACTCTTTCCCCCTCCTCCCTCCCTCCCTCCTTTATTTCGGGCACACAAAGTATTCCCAGCTCTTTGCATGCTTTCTTGGTTCTAATAACTCTGGCTTTAAAAACAAAGGAGTGCCGAACCCGAGGGCATGCCGCAGAGGCAAGACATTTAGATGGATGCTTGATGGAGACTCCTCACTTAGTCCAGCTGCAGGCCATGGCGCTGCGTGTCCCAGCTCTGACAGACTGCCTTTACACAAGCCAGACCTCACAGCACGCCTCTGAGGCTGTGGAAGTGGAGGCAAAGGGAAGGGGAGACATGACAAGAATGTTGAAGCCTCATCGATCACATATTTTGGGCTGCTGGGTGAGGTGCTGGACCAGGTCTTCCTGGGCAGGAAGCTTTTTAAAGACACATTGCACCCTCCTGCTCGCCTTCCCCAGTGTAGAGCATTTCTGCACTGCTATCATGGTTTGGTCAGTTTTGAGACTGATCTCTGGTCAGGAGAGTCACAGATGCTTGGAGCATCATTCCCTTCTTAATAAATGAGGCAGGTGAAGGGATACAGCGAGGGTGGGGAAGGTCAGGCTGATGGAAAAAGAAGTCTGGCAACACTTCACTAACCCCTCCCTCTAGGAAAATGATAGGAATAGGAATAGAAAAGAAACAGAAATCAGCCAAGGAGGAGATGCACTGCAGCATCCCCCAGCCTTAGGGAGCTTTGGGGCACAAATGGCTGGAGGTTTGGAGCATAGCCTGGGCATATTTGCATCATGCTTTTCTTATTCCCTGGGTGACAGCTGCAGATGACTGCTGGAGGTGCAATACTGACCTCAATGGGGTTTTGTTGCATGCAGTACACTGGGTGTGTTTGGTACCTCCATGCCTCCACTGCAGTATAATGTGTTATATTATCATAACAATGATTAAATCTGACTCAGTTCTCCATGCAGGACTGAGTTCCTGATGCCTTTGCCCTGCAAATCATGTCTCAGTTTGACCTTATCAATGACATTCAGAAGCCAGGAACAGAACAGCCTCCTCCAACAAAGCCAAGGATGCAGAAGGGGCAAGAAGTGACTTTGCCTTCCTCTGTCGATGAACAGATGAAATTACACTACCCCTGGTACAATGTACCACCTTGCTTCCAGCATCAGGACACCTTGTTAGGAGCTTTCTACTGAGATGGCATTCCCCTTTAATCCCACATCCCATTTCAATCTCTGCCTCAAAAGCTCTAGCTTTGGAAATCTGAATTTATCTGCTTGGCAGCCCTCTGATACATGAATGAATCAGTAGATGAATTCAGATTCATTTAGCCCTAAAGTGTATGCATAATTTAACACTTACAGAGGCAAATCTTAAAATATCTGGGCAAACCCATGTGCTATTATCCTGGCTTTCCCAGGGTCACTTCCCTGACAGTCTCTCTGCAAGGTGTCGGGTTCAGAATTCCATCAGAATCAGACAAAATCATCCTCAGCTTTGGGCAGTCGGAGGCGTCGCTCTTTGGTGTGCTCCTCGCTTCCACTGAACGAACACCCATTTGCCTGGTCGAGTTTTGGCAAGCCAGCGCAGATGAGGACGTCATGAGTTTCATAGGTCAATCCTGAGGTGCTTTTCCAAGTCACATCCTGACGTCAACCTGCCTCACGCTCACATTTTGACAATATGGGGGACCTTAAAACACAAAAAAAAACCAACAAACCCCCCAAAACGGGTAAAAATCACTGTAATCCGTGTTTCATCAACTGATTAATCCAGGCATAAAGAGATGGACGTGCTGGGCTTCTCACACGCTGGACTGCCCGCTCCAGGGGCTGGCTGTGCTGCTTGTTAAAACAGCCTGACACAAAGAGGCCCCAGGAGCTGCATGCATCCACAGGATAGATGTCTTCTTCTGTCAATCCAGCTGGAGACCCCCAAGAGGGAAAACTGGATTGTCCGTATGGGTGAGGGGAGGAATGTCATAGAGGAATGCTTCTAAAACCTTCTCCAGTAATCGGAGCAAAACCTTGCCAAGTCTTTTGCCATTAACAGAGGCCTGAATGCAGACTGAAAAGGTGCAGTTTGCCATTCAGGCCAGCCTGGTGCCGAAAACCAGGGCAGCCAGCTTGCTTGGGCATTGCTCAAAATGAATGTAATTACAACAATGTGGTGCTTTCAGGCCATTTTCCATTCCCCATTTCCATTTTTTTGGGGGGGCAGGGGGGGTCAATTGCCCATCGCCATTTCTATCACCATCACCAGGCAGTGATGCAGGCAGCTGGAGCTGCAGATGTCCCGTTGGAAGTCAGGTCATCCCATTGGTGTGGTGGCATTTACCCACTTGCCAGGATGTCTGCAGGAGAGGGAAGGTGCCCCAGCAGGAGCTGTTGGACTGCTTATCCCATCACTGTGTTGGAGATCCTATCTCCAGTGATTAGCTGGGTCCTGCTGTACTGCTCTGTTCACTATCCCGAGCTTGCTGTCAATTTGCTGCTTCTATTTTACATTCAAAGAAGAGCTTGTTTTCCCTAAAGCTTATCTGCTTCTTTAGACCAGGCTGGATGGTCTCATTGCAAAACAATCTACCTCCAGCAGCCAGCCTTGTGCCTCTGTGTCACGATTCAGTCT